CAAGGAGTCTGGTGGCACCTTAAAGACTAACAGATTTATTTGGGCATAAGCTTTCGTGAGTAAAAACCCTCACTTCTTCGGATGCAAAGAAGATGTTGCATCCGAAGAAGTGAGGTTTTTACTCACGAAAGCTTATGCCCAAATAAATCTGTTAGTCTTTAAGATGCCACCAGACTCCTTGTAGCATTTGACAATCTGCTGTGTTCTATATCATACTTTATAGATGACCAAAAATGGTAATGTGGGTGGGTATATGGGGGAAGGAAAATAACTCTTTCAGCATATTTTCAGTAACCTGTCCAAAAGGGTGATGTTCTTCACTGATGCCAGACCATAGAGCAGCTTTTCTTTTTCTTGAGCTAATGAAGTACTTTGGTATTTCTGAAACATATAGTTCCATGATGTCTCATTGCCGGAGTTCTGCATCCCATAGCGATATACCAAGAGCCGGAGATTTACAGATGGACTAAAAAACATAAAGAAATATATTATGGTTGCCACCTTTTTTGAGTTGCATTAGAATACCATATACAGTATTCTTAACTGAATGCAAAAACCATGAATATTCACCTTGCTCCATTTAACCAGGAATAAAATAAGCTAGATGCATTGTTCAAAGCATCCTGGTCGTCCATGCTGCATGCAAATCCTAAAACATCTGCACGAAGAAGCCTTTTTAAAAAAATAAAATAAAATAAAAACACAGAGAGGGAGATTTTTCTAGTGTTCCACAATCGGAGTCTATCTATAATATTAATATACACAATAAATTCTTAACCTCATCACATGGCTTCCAGTTTCATCATCGTTCCAACCCAGCTTATTTGCAATGGGTTTAACCAGACTGCGAAAGTATGTCTGAAATAAAGAGGTTTTCTGATTACCCTTATAGGTTTCATGATGTAACAAGGTTTTCATCTTCATAGTTTGTCTTTTTAAAAATTCCAGTAACAACAACATACCCCGGGGAAAAAAAACTTTCAGCAAAGTCACCATGTCATGAAAGGATGTGAACATCATACTGCACCTTTGCTTTGCACTGTTATGATGCATTGACACAACATGAAGATGTCCCATCAGCCTCAAGCCTTGTCTACACTATGATAACATAACCACCAGTGTAAACTAGGACACACTCTGCTCAGCTTGGTCCCCTGACATAATGCTGACTACAGTTTGTGCTTATCTGTGCTGACCACTGAAGTATGTTCAACCCCAGGTCAGCTATCATGATTGCTGACAACCTCACTGAGACATGGTTACCTTTCCTGGTGTAGGTAAGGCATCAGAAGTTTTCCTATCTTGAACAATCCTGCTTGTAATACATATGACAGCCCTGGCACAAAAACAACTGTACAGTGAACAATCAAAATAGGTGGCAACCGTAACAGGGAACACTCCAATTTTATTTCCAGTATATACAGATCCACAGTCTGGGGATCTGTATAATTCATGGGCCTATATAAATCAGGTTACAAAATATATGTTGAGTATATTATTTATTATACGTCTTTTAATGTTGAAATTATACATAAAACCGCTTCAGCAACTTTGAAAATCACTCAGCCTTCAATACTATAATTGTTATAGCCCTGAACTGTAGGATTAATAGATTATAAGCAAGACTTTCATGGTTGTATCACCTTAAACCTGGGGTAGAGCTCTATATCATCTCCAAGCATGTCTCTGAGGTAAGATACAGCTGATATAACTCTATGCCAAGGTAAATAATCCTCTTCATTTTGTAGATATTTTGTTAGATTCAGTGGAACAGCATAATTCAAAAGTTCAGCCCTGAGGAAGGAAGAGAGACAATTGACACAATCTTACAAATCCTGTCTCATTTGTAACTGGAACACACAGAAGTCTAATATACTGGGTGTTAATTGTAACCACGTTCCATCGCTGCATCATTCTTGTGAGGAGCTCTTTTTGGAAGGAATTCATTGTATGCAATTTGAAAACTTGCGTATTTTGGAAACTGTTGTTGTTGTTGTGGACAATGTTTTATTGGTCCTATTGTACAATCTGTAGGAAGCAGAGGGACTCGCCTCAGGAGCATGTGCCTCTCTAGAAGCAAATCTGTTCAAATCCAAATTTCAGAAGAGTCAAGTTAGACATCAGCCTTCTACTTTTTTTTTTTCAGTGTCTGTTTGCCTTAGTTTAATTTCTTCTTCCCTCTCCATCAATCACTTTCCCTTTTCTCTCTCTGTCCTTCAAATCACTCATCATTTCTTCCCCAGCCGTGTACTACACCCAGTCTGCCTCTTCTCTGATAGGAAGAGAGAAGGATGGAGTGGGCCTCCAAACAAGCAGTGTCCTCTTTTCCAGTTTCTGTGAACATGGTCAGGAGAAGAAGTTTTCTTGTCTCCCCCTTCCTCCCCTATTCTGCCCCCCACCCCCCCTCCTGCGCTGCCATGGGATAGGGCTGACTAGGAGTTCTGGAGAGCCAACAAACTGTGTCTTCTCTAGGAAGGAACGGGCAACATCTTCCTCTTCCCTCCCCTCCCCTCCCCTCCCCTCCTCAAACAGTAGGAGGTGGGGGCTGCTGTGGCTTTCTTATCCCTTTCCTCCCTGGGAATGTGCTATATTATGGAACAGGCACTCATGAGGATTCAACTCACTGTCTGGTCTAAAAATAGACTAGGCAGAGCAAGCAAACCACCATTCAGCACGGTGCTCTTGGGAGAGCAGTGATTGTTCAGCCCATGGGGGTGGGGTGGGAGGGGAAAATCAGACAAATTCATTGCTGGTCGACCAGATTGATGCTTCAGATTTTTTTTTTTTATTTAAATCAAAACAATTTGGCAAATTCAGGTGAACTGAAACATTTTGTGAATTCAGGTTGAATCTATCCCTCCCCCCTGCACCACACACACACTGGAAAAAGTTTCTGTGAAAAAATAATTTCACTCTGCTTTAGTGATAACCTGATTGACTTCATAGCCTATTCTGGAGAACCGTCTCTCCCTCCCTATTACATGGTGAAACGGTCCAGGCCTGTATAAAAGTCTGCTTCTGTACACTTGCTTTTAATGTAGACTCTCGACTCCCCCCTCCCACACTTGCGTGTATTAGAGATTTTGTGTTCTGATGGGACAGCTGAAAATCACACACTTTTAATTGTGTTGCAGTCATGGAAGTGTTGTAAACTTCATCCGCAATGCTATAGGGCATACGTCCCAGCGGCACTATGGATACATAGTTCATCTAAGGATTAGTTTTCTCTGCTGAAAGTATTTGGCTACAGATTTATCAACTTACAGTAAAATGCAGAAAATCTGCTGAATCTATTCTGAGTAGGTGTTACTAGAGGAGGTTGTTTCAAATCAGTAAGTAATTACAATAATACCTAGGGCTAACAGTGCTTTTCATCAGTAAATCTCAATGTACTTTAAAAAGGGTTAGTAGCATTATCTCCATATTGCAGCTGGAGAAACTGAGGCATAGAGTGGTTAAAGTCACTTGCCCAAGGTTAATCAGAAGGCCAGTGGCAGAGCCAGGAATACAAACTGGCTTGCAAATCTTTTTATGACACAGAAATAAACACTGAAGATCTAAACATGGGGAAATAATTTTAATATTGGGGAAAAAATCCAATGAATTCAGTGGGACTGCTTTTGTAACTGTTCACCAGTGGGAGTAAGGGATTCATTCTCTGGCTGTAAGTTTGTATTTGCACAAGCAATGGGTATCTAGTGGTCTGATCACATGACTGAGAGCTAGAAAGCCAGAAATTCTAATACCACCAATTCACTGTTTGGTCTTTGGCAAATCCCTTAACACTTGTGTATCTGGGTTTCCTTATCTGCAAAATGGGGATGATAATCCTTACCCACTTTAAAGAGTTGTTGTGAAGATTAGCTAGTATTTGTAATGCAGAATATAAGTGACATACAATATTTGGTAATGCGAGTCTCACAGAAGGGACAAACTAGCTCTAAATATCTAACTAGTATGTTTAATAATCATGAAATTTTATGTTGTGGGTTTGTTTGTTTGTTTCTATATTGTACATGGTATTGAACGTGAAGGGTTTGATTTTAAACAAATTAGATGTACAATTCATGCACACACTTGCTGTGACTGTATGTGCAATTCTGTCACGTGGGAACAAATGATCATAATTAATCCCTTGCATGCACAACTGAAATAACTACAAGTAAATTGAATGCAAAATTGTGCATATATTTTGCTTATGCAATTGCATTCTTAATGGGTTTAGTAACCAGGCCCAAACCATCTTTATTTTCCTGACTTTTTTTATGGAACTCTGTTATCAACAGTTTTTCTAGTTCTCACAGTGTTTATCTCTTTTATACACAGCTACTCAACTGCACACCCACAAGAGCCCTTCACTTCATCCCAAGGCAAAAGGAATTGTCTGTATTGTGTGATAGCAGCAATTAAAGTGCTAAAGAGATTATTATAGCACCGTGCTCTTTAAAAGAGCTCAGATAATATACTTGGGAAAAAGTTATGGAACATACACAGGAGGCACTTGCCAAAGAAAGTTCTGAAGGATTATTGTGATTAGATGTCACGTACAAGAGCAGAGCAGCTCTGAAGGAGCTCTCATTACCATTCTAGGGCAATCAGCATTGTGTAGTTACTTGCTTTTATTCACCAAATAAACCTTGAAAAGGTACACACAGTTGTGTGACCAAAAAAGAAGTTACATCTCATTAACTGTCTTAATTCAAGATTCAGAAAGAAATTTGGGGATATCTATGGAGACCATATACTCCTTAGACACCTGGTTTCTTCTGAGAACATGGCTTCATCTGGAACATTTCTGTCTTTGTCTTGCCAGCCACACCAGGCTCAAAAAGTCAAGAGTTCTGCAGGCAGAGATAGGAAATAAATCCTTCTCCCTTTGAAGCGAATGGCAAAACTCCCATTAACTTCAGTGATTCAGGATCAGACACTAATACTGGACAGGTAAGGCCAACCCTAACTGATATCAATAAGAGTTGTACACACATTTGAATTTGCTCCTTTATGGAGGAAAATGTAAGAGAAGAAAAGGCTGCTAAAGACAGACCAAGGCCTAATTCTTTCTGTAGTTATAACAAAATAATAGTTTAAAAATTTTCATTCTTACCATCCAAACCAAGAGAATGCCAATATAATAAACAGTGGGAAGACATGAAAACTATTTTTAAATATCTATAAGAGGGGTGGCCAAACTTTTTGGCCCGAGGGCCACATCTGGGTATGGAAATCATAAGGTGGGCCATGAATGCTCATGAAATTGGGGTTGGGGTATAAGAGGGGGTGAGGGCTCTGGCTGTGGGTGTGGGAGGGGACTCCAGGCTGGGGCAGGGGTGCGGGAGGGATGAGGGTTCTGGCTGGAGGTGCAGGCTCTGGGGTGGGGATGGGGATGAGGGATTTGGGGTGTAGGAGGGTGCTCCATGCTGAGACCAAGGGATTTGGAAGGCCAGAGAGGGATCAGGGCTGGGGTTGGAGCCTGGGGGTAGTGGTGAGGGCTCTGGCTGGGGTGGCGGGCTCTGGGGGGGGAGCCAGAAATGAAGAGTTCAGGGTGCATGAAGGGGCTCCAGGCTGGGGCAAGGGGTTGAGGTGCGGGGGAGTGCTCTGGGCTGGGATCAAGGGGTTTGGAGGGCGGGAGGGGGATTAGGGCTGAGGCAGGGGATTGGGGCACAGGAGGGGCTCAGGGATGCAGGCTCCGGGCAGTGCTTACCTCAAGCAGCTCCCGGATGCAGCGGCATGTCTACCCTCCGGCTCCTACGTGGAGGCGCGGCCAGGTGTCTCTGCACGCTGCCCTGTCTGCATGCGCCGTCCCTGCATCTCCCATTGGCTGCAGTTTCCAGCCAATGGAAGCTGCTGGGGCGGCGCTTGGGGCAGGAGCAGTATGCGGAGCCCCCTGGCTGCCTCTAAACGTAGGAGCCAGAGGGGGGACGTGCCGCTGCTTCCGTGATCCGTGCAGAGCGGCCCCTAATCCCATTCCCCGGCTGGAGTGTGGGAGCAGGGCAAGCCCCAGACCCTGCTCCCCAGCAGGAGCTCAAAGGCCGGATTAAATTGGCTGGTGGGCAGGATGTGGCCCGCGGGCCGTAGTTTGCCCACGCTTGGTCTATTATGTGTTAGTTTCATTATAAAACCTACCTTGCCAAAGAAAACACATCATCCAGAAGCCCGGCACGATCAGCAGAAGAAAAAGACTGCACGAGGGGAGGAAGAATGAGAGCAAAAAGATGTTTATATTTTGTAGAAGAAACAACAATTGTTAGTAGATTCCAGAAACCAACCAGCTTACAACCAAATCCAGTTAATTTCATCAGACTCACCGTATGGCTGATAGCCAATAATCTGCTTATGTTGTTCCAAGTTTGTGTTTCATAATTTACACGATAAAATCCAATGTGGTCTGGATTTATTTTCAGTAAAGAATCAGGGTTGCTGGGTGTTATAGTAATTCCTGTGGCTGTAAACAAATACTAATGAAAAATGTACATGCATATAAATATAATCCTTCCTTGACTCAATTCCTATAACTACAGATTAATTAAATCCCAAAATAAACCAAGCCCTTACTCAAGTCTTGAGGTTCATGGAAACTCAGAATGAAGCCTAACCTTTGAGGATGATGTTTCATTCTCGAAAGTTAAACTGCTCCCACTGTGGTCAGCAGTTTTGAAAGTTCACTTAGTGCCTGTTCCACTGTCTGAAGCAGAAGACTTTTACTCCAATGCGTATTGACTCAGCCCTTAGTAAATAGTATTTCTGACTTTGGATGAACCGTGCAAGGTATTTCAAAAGACTGTTCTAATTCATTGGGACAACTCTCAGCCTCCTGTGTTGTGATGGGGAGAGTGGTGAGAGAAAATTCTTTCATGCAATTTTGTTATGCACCATAACATAATGGGTAGGTTTAATTTTCATCCTAGTCTCTGAATGCAAGTAAATTAAACACAAACTTTAAAGTAATTTAAAAAAACTAAACTAAAAGAGGGAGACAAGTGCTAAATACAAAAAGAGAATAGAAGAGTTGGTTATATATTTTTGAATTTTGAAATTTTGTTGAGCACTCGAAATTTTTCAAATTTTGAAATGTAGAATTTTTGGAAAAAAGCACACAACTTTCATGGACATCTCCTTTTTTTTTTTTTTTTTTTTTTGAGCAGAAAATAGCTTCAGCCAACTCCAAACATAAGAGTACTGCAGCTCCCTCCACCTAAACTAAGCGAGTCCAGACTGCCACCTATCACTGCAAAAGATGTATTTATCAGTAACCAGATCCAGCTTCTCCCTTAGGCTGAGATTCAGGAAAGCACATATTTAAGTCCCATTGCTATCAATGGGACAGCATGCTTAGAAAAGCACCTACACATGTGCTTAGCTATGAGTAGGAATGGATTTAAGCATATCTTAAATGTTTGAATATGCAGGCCTCGCACATACACACGCTATCATTAACATTAAATAGAAATCTTTGTTTTAATGTGCCCAAAATTCCTCTAAACCAAATGACCAATTTTATATTAGGGTGAGTGTCATATTGTGTGAATAAATAAGAATAGATTTTAATTATTGGACTTAATTAGCATAATCTTGTTTATGGGAGGGGCTTATTCTCATTCCAGGGAAAGACCTTAACTCCTTTATTCTCAAGCAGTGTGTTTCAAGCACTGAAGAGCATAAAAGTTAAATTCTTTTTAGTTCTTAGTAAGGATATTTTTAAAGCTTTGTGTGATTGTCACATTGAGCCTACTGTTATTCTTAAATGAAACATTACTGAAGTTTACCTGCAGATACTGACTTATTGTAGAATGTAACATTTGTTTCGGTCCCAGCACGCCATTTCACTGGGATATTCCATGTGTAACTGAAATGATTTCAATTGAAAAAAATAAACAACTTTTGAAAGAGAACCTAAAATAACACATTTAAAACATTTTATCAATTATCATGATTAATAAATACATTTATTGTAGCATCTATGGGTTCCAGCTTTATTGTGCTAGGCACTGCAGAAACTTACACAGGTACATAGATATTTATAAATTGACTATGAAGAAGTATCTATATCTAGATATCCACTAATATATGACTAAATACCACAGATAACAAATTTTGGGCTTTCCCAACAGCTTGATTATTTAAATATAATAAAAACTTCTTTAGGATATCTTCCTGGCAAAAGCAGTTTATAAAAAATTTTGGATCCAGGCAAGGTGAAATAGATAGTTGGTTATTTTTATTGGACAAATGTTGCATGATTAGGACAATATTCTATTTCTAAGTTAAAATAAAAGGTTTGAAGTTTCTGATAGCATTCCTCTTTTCGATATGGAGAATAGCAGTAGTTAGTCCCTAAAACTATGAAATATACATAATTGCTGCCTCTGGCAGACTGAGCACTGGACAGGGAGCTATGGACTACTGAGTTTTAGTCCAAACTCTGGCATTGACTTTGTGTGGTATTAAGCAAGTAACTTTTATGCCTTGATTTAGCAAGGTATTTAGTCACATGCCAAACTTTAGCCATATGAGTGGTTCCATTGACCAAGCCATGTTTTGGAAATCCATGGAAGGATTCACATGCTTAAAGTTAGTACGTGCTTAAGTACCTTTCTGAATGAGGGCCTAAATGTGCCTGTGCCTCGGTTTCCCCATCTATAAAATGGGAATGATATTTACCCAATATCAGAGGGGTGTTCTGTGGACTAGCTAATTTCTGTACCATTATATACTGTAAATGTGTTTATTGTAATTATACACAGTTGGAAATATAGACTTGTCAAGTAGTATTTCTGTATCATATCATGCTAATCTAGTAGATCACAAGGCATTGAATTTAATGAAGTATGATTATATGTGGATGGGTGACCTTAGCATTAATGTAGAGGTTTATATGTTCAAAGTTTTGTACAAACGGTAACTTCACAACACCCCTGTGTGGTAAGTTGCTAAGGATTACTATGCCTGTTTTACAGATGAGGAAAACTGAAATAGAAAGTGATTCTTTGAGGGCTATACAACGAATCTGTGTCAGAGGGAGAATTAGAATTCAGGACGTCTTGATTGTTCCAATCCCGTGTTTCTTCTCTTAGACCACATTGATTCCTCCCTCCCTCACTGAGTGCCAGATTGTGATAGTATCTTACTCCTTGATAAGTCTAATTGAAATCAATGGGAGCAGTTGGGAAGTAAGGTACTATATAATGCAAGGGTATCAATATCCAGCCCAGAGATGTTTTTCTAGCATCTTAGATACCATGGCAACAAACACTATACAAAAACTTGTCATTCTTCTGACTTAGAATCAAAGGAACGATAGCTTCATTCTAGCAAGTAAGAAAATGAAGGAAGTCGTGTCTCTTTGCTACCTACGGGGAGAAAGGTCAGCTCTTGTTTTATATTTTTGAATAAAAATATTTTAACAGATTTTTACATTTCTAACTTTTATTAGCTGTTTTTTGGAGAATTATTGCCAGGGAGTTTAAAAGGGTTATTACTTGGCCAAAAGCCTGGCTGTTGCATTTCTCCAGGAGAAAGCCGATAAAAGAGTTTTTAATATTTGTTTTGTAAATGCACTTAGTGGAGTGATTTTTTCCTTTAGTGTTTTTATATGTTCCTGAGATCATGTACATAAATACTTCTCTTGGGCATTAAGTATAACGTCCATATCTGGTTAAGTATGCGTATTGAGGATGTGTTCCTGACATGCTATATTGCAGCCACATACTTGCCTACCAGCACTATTTAAAAAACATGAGTTCTTGAAGTTGTATTTCTCTTTTGAGTGTTAATATCCATGACTGGACTTTGTTAGGACAGGGGCACTGTAGCCATCTAGGGAGACAATCTTTTATTAGACTCTGTTTCACAGCTTAGTCACAACCCCAGACCTGGAGCTGAGCTGTCACAGTTCCACTGGAGGGACACATGGCCCCAGTAGTCTCCTCTCCCACATCAACGCTGGCTGGGGGAGGGAGTACAGTTTTCCAGTGCGCTTGGATCCTTTGCAAGGGATAAAACCTATTCCAATTAAGATATCAGGGTTTATTATATAATAATAATAATTAATTATATATATGCATTTTATCCCTAAGCACTTGATAAAACTTTACTTATCTAGAACTAATTTCCCCCACCACTGAGATGCCACTGTTTCTGGAATGACTGGAGCAGTTCACAATGTACATGGCTGATTAGGGCAGGACTTGCTTTAGGATTTACATTAAAAGCATGATGAACACCAAGAACCTGGTGCTCTAATTCCTTTGATTATCTGAGGAAAGCCGGGCTGCTGGATTCACCCCCTTCTGAAAATAATGCAATGAGCCAATGTTGTGAACAGTAAGGAGCTGTTAATTGAATACCATCTTCCATATGGCACAGAGGTAGAATTTGCAAAAATGAAATTTTTTCTTGGTTCAAGTCTGCAAATTTTTTTTTTTCCCCAGTTCAAATCCAGACCAGGTCACTAGTGACCAGAAGTGGTTTTTCTGGCTGACGGCTCTTTGATCTGTGTAAAATTAGTTGGTGGCCAATGTCCAAGCCCCAATGGTGCCCACTTCACAAAACCACCACGGCAGTTGACACTGTTTGGCAGCCTTGTTGGCAATCTCAAGCAGAAAAGGCAAGAATTGTATGGACGTGGGGACAGAACTACTCTTTTGACTTTACTGATGGTGCTCTGTGGGTTATTGTTGAGACACACGTGCTGGGCAGCATGGGGAAGGCTGCATTGTTCTGTCCATGGTTGTACCTGTTTTGGTGGCTAAAGTCTCCAGGGCTGTAAATAGGGCATCTTCCACCATCATGAAATTCACTCAGAAATATTGAAAAACTATCCATATATAACTGAAACTGCTGTGATCTCTGTTACGCCCAGTCCTCCATACTATTTGTCCTCCCTTCCTCTTCTTCCTTTTGGATTTAGACATTTGGGGCTGGTCCACACTAAGCCCCCAGTTTGAACTAAGATACGCAACTTCAGCTACGTGAATAACGTAGCTGAAGTCGAAGTATCTTAGTTCAAACTTAAAGGTACTTACTGCGGGTCCACACGCGGCAGGCAGGCTCCCCCGTCAACTCTGCCTACTCCTCTTGTGGAGCAGGATTACCGGCGTCGACGGCGAGCACTTCCGTGATCGATTTTATCGCGTCTAGACAAGATGTGATAAATCGATCCCAGAAGATCGATTGCTTGCCGGCGAACCAGCGGGTAAGTATAGACGTACCCTTGGTGTTCTACACTGAGACACACAGAGCTGATGCAGTAGTTGTCCTGGGTGTGGGGAGTTATTATACAGCATCCTGTTAAGTTTTCTTGTAATTTACTGATTGTTGGGTTTCCCCTGAGACCTCTTCCACTTGGTCTCCCAAGAACTCAGTTCACTTCCAGTCTTGTCTGTTACTCAGGTTCCTTTATTTGGCATAAGGCAAAGTTATGCAGAGTTGATTAGACTCAAGCATAGGGGTGGGTGGCGTGTACCTTGCATCCAAAGTTACACCACATACCTCTTCCTTTAGACATTACATTTACTGTACATTGCATTACATGTTTTGGGAGGTAACTGTAAATTCAAGGCAGGGAGGTGTGTGTGTGAGAGAGAGATAATGAATACATATGAGCATATCTATCTACAGCATCTCTCTTTCTGCTGTTTGTTTACAGGACAGGCATATACAGGAAAACCTTACCCTAGTGCAGAGGTCGGTTCAGAAGAATTTGCTGAGGGGTCCAACAGAAAACGTCTCTGTGTGATCTTTGAATTAGCTTCCACACTCAATACAGGGTATCCCATCTGCCTAGTCCAGGTGTCCATCACTTCCTTCACTGGCTTATCACTTGCCTAAGAATAACAGCAGATGGTCACACTGAGAAAGCTAAATCAGACTGAAGAGGGAATAAAACGCTCATGCTGAGTGGCTGGGAGACCAGAAAGGGAACAGGTTTCCCTCATTAATGTTAGGGCTTTGTTCCTAACAATTCAGCAAATAAGAGCAAGATTGGCTCAAAAATATTTTATTAAACCCTTTCATGGTGCATGTAACAGAAGAAAAGTAATGAGCTGTTAACAGAGACATTTTAAATACTCTTAAAGCAAACAGGGTTAAACTAGGTCAAGGTTCAGGCAGTAGGAGGGGCAAAGAATATTCCCTGCCCTTGTGGCTTGCTCCTCTCTGCACACTTCAAGCTCAAACGATTTTCCTCCTCTGCTGCCTTCTGAGGAGGGAGTAGAACACAGGAAGGACTAGCTGAGATTCTAGCACTATTGGCGAATCTCCTCTATAGCAGAATTCCCAAACTATGGTCTGCAAGCCAGTCCTTCCAGCTGCTCTGAAGAGAGCTGAGCTGCTGGTTCCATCCTCCAGACAACTTCAGGTAGGTGCCGGTGGAAGGAAGGAGTAGCAGCCAGCACTAGGGACTGCTGGTGGAGCTGCCCACGAACTCAAGTGTAGCTGCCTCTCAGATTGAGGCCATGGGACTTAACCAGTGCCCCTCCAACCCACCTTGTGCTGGATGGAAAGGAGCCAGGTTTAAGGTGTTCTCCAGGGCCAGAAGGTACTGTGAGCAGCAGAGAGGGAGAAGAGAACAAGGAGAGAGCCAGGCTGGGCAAGCAAGAGCCTGGGACTAGGAGGAGGGCAGGATGAGACACTAATGTAGAACTTGGGCAAAATGGCTGTCAGGAACCTGGAGGGGGAGAGGAAGGCATATGGTGTCCAAGTAAGCAGCTGGGAACTTGGGGAGGCAGAAAACAGTTGGGCCTCAGGAGGCAACTGGGGAGCAGCGTGGGAGGAAAGAGCCAGAACCTGGGGAGAAGGAAGGAACCAAGGTCTGGTGGGAAACGAGAGAGCAGTAGGGATCCAGGGTAGTTAAACTGGCAGTCATACTAAGTGCTTAGATCAGTGGTTCTTAACCAGGGGTATACATGCCCTTGGGAGTATGCAGAGGTCTTCCAGGGGGTACATCAATTCATATTTGCCTAGTTTTACAACAGGCTACATAAAAAGAACTAGCGAAATCAGTACAAACTAAAATTTCAAACAGACAATGACTTGTTTATACTGCTCTATATACTATACACTGAAATGTAAGTACAATATTTATATTCCAATTGATTTATAATTATATGGTAAAAATGAGAAAGGTAAGCAATTTTTCAGTAATAGTCTGCTGTGATACTTTTGTATTTTTATGTCTGATTTTTGTAAGCAAGCAGTTTTTAAGTGAGATGAAAATTTGGGGGTATGCAAGACACATCAGACTCCTGAAAGGGGTACAGTAGTCTGGAAAGGTTGAGAGCCACTGGCTTAGATACTGTTGTGATGAGCGCTATAAAAAATCCTACTATAGAAAGAATCATGTTAGGGGAGTGTGTGTGTGTGTACGTACATTTAAGTGAGACTGATGTGGGCAGATGGATAGGTTGGAAGGGTTGAAATTTCTTGTGTATGTGGATTGCTTTGCGTTGTCAGTTCCCCCTCACTTGCTTCCAGTTCCAACCCACACCTAAGCAATTTTCCCATGCAAAAAATGAGTATTGTATTTACTAGAGGGATGAGATTTGGAGTTTTCTGGGCTGGAGGAGGCTGCCTGGGATATGATCTCTCTACTAATGAGGTTCACAATATGAAAAAGTTTGGGAAACCCTGCTCTGTAGGATGAGTACAGAAACTTTTAATAGCAAGGGTGTTAATTGTTACAGACCGTACCAGTGCCAGGGATTCCCAGAAATCATCTGTCTTTGCATTCTGGAATTGGTAGTTCTTTAGGTACTCCTAGGAAAAAAAGAGAAGAAAATGTTTTAAATATTTGCACTCCTTCCTCACCTGTCAAAACAATGCACATATTGTAATGTTATCTGTAGTACTAATATGCGGAATACCTTCCTAAGAGTGGTGTTATTCTTAACCAGCAAAGGCTTTGAGCAGGGCCGGCTCCAGCATTTCTGCCGCCCCAAGCAACAACAACAACAAAAAAGCCGTGATCGGTGGCGGCAGTTCAGCAGCAGGTCCTTCGCTCCTAGAGGGAGTGAGGGACCTGCCGCCCCCGAATTGCCGCAGGTGCCGCCCCTCTCCCTTGGCCGCCCCAAGCACCTGCTTGTTAAGCTGGTGCCTTGAGCCGACCCTGGCTTTGAGAGAGATGTACATTTGTTTATTTCACTGCTTTCTGCACAGAAGAAAAGTGGAAACACTTGCCAAATGCAGGGTCCACAGGTTGTTCTAAAAAGGAGATCTCCGGGTATGTCTACACTACCAGCTGGATCAGCGGGGATCGATTTTTATCGCCTCTAATGAAGACACCACGGTAAGTCGATCTAAGTACGTCGACTTCAGCTACGTTATTCACATAGCTGAAGTTGCGTAACTTACATTGATTCCCACCACCCCCCAGCCCCCCCCCCCAGTGTAGACCAAGGCTCAGAAATATCCCAACTCCTCCCTGTATAAATGCAGGTTGGGAGCTTTGAGAAAGCCAGAAACATTGAGAAATTATTGCACACTGAATTATAAGTGTCAAAATATTAGTCCATATGACTTACAAACACCATTTCCTAGTGAAAAATTGGGGGGCATGAAAGATCTTAATGTCAGCCAGGATGAAGTGTGGTTTTAATTTATACACTGTCCATAAGAGAACCAGCCTCTTCTTCCTTCTGGAAGCTAAATTGGGTCTATTGTTTTTTATAAAAGTTTTATTAATTTATATGTCTCAATTTAAAAACAAACGGAATCAGCAAAAACATAGCTGCTCATTGATGAGACATTTGAAAGGGTGGAATAAAGTTTCCCCATCATCCCAGTCTTATGTGCCTTCAATAAATCAAATGGAACCATATTAATCCAAAAACATTTCAGTACTTCCCAAAGGACAGGCCTATTCTTAAGATGGGGAGTCAGTATTTTCCAACATGATACATTTAATGTGCAATGTATTAATCCTTGGAGAGGGCCCTTGACTTTTTTTCTTTGTTGTTTACTTGAGTGGACAAAATGTAGTTGTATTGTACATTTCTGGCTTATTAAATAGGTCACAAAAAGAGTTATTTTAGGAATGTCTAAAAGTGGAAATCAAAGCTGAACTATGATAACTTGGATAACTGCATTCTGTGATCAAAATCTTCTTAAAGGCTTAACTGATAACTAATAATTAGCTATTTAATGATTTCCTGTTCTGCTTAAATATTGAATGCTAGAACATGTTATCCCCCAGTTCAGTGCTACTCTGAGACTGTGACACATCAAGTAGTACGTGATATATTCTGCCTACAGAATGTTAGGTAGGTGGTGCTGTTTGTTTCAATCTCCACCACAGCTATTTCTGTGCTTTTATAGGGATGTGGGTAAGCAGGAAGTATTTATCACGGCAGCTTGTGCCTATAATGTGGAGTGTGACTGAATATTCCTGTCTTGTAGGACTGTCCTTGCTGATTGTATGGAAATGTTTTTGCTGTGGTTTCAATATAATCAGTCAGCTGGCCAGCTAGGATGTTCTCCCAGCCCCTCCATATCTTAGCCCTGTCAATTCTAGCTCGGGAGCAGTGATGAGAGCACCAGTGTAAACAGGGCTCAGGCATCTCTATCACCATATTCTGAAGATTCACTTTGAGGACTAGCTCAATGGTGAGAGATTTCTTGAAAAATGCCAGTGTAGCAACTCAGAGATCTTGGAGGGAAGAGGAGGAGGTGTGTTATTTTGTGGGGGGTGAGGATAAGAACATATTTAATAACCCAGGAAACAAAGGCATCATGATTAATTATTTAAAGATTTCAGAGCACAACAGTTATGGCCTCTATTTTTGGAGAAGACTCCAAGTTCTCCAATTTTCTCTTTTGTGTGTATGGTAGTTGGCATGTATCCTAACCATGTATCCTAGCTTCTTGGTAGGGGTAAAGTAAAAGAGGGCTTTTTTTCTTCCCCCCCCCCCCCCCAGGGGCAAATTAGCACCGTGCATTGGGATTGACAAATGTGGAGTAACTCTGTTTTCCAGTTTTGCCTTCCCTAATTCCTATGAAAGAGGAATTTATCAGTCGTGGCCGCAGGTCCAGCGTCAAAT